CCCACCCCTTCAAGAGTTTCTGGAGAGATGCTGCCTGAATATCCTGGACATTTTTACAACGCTTCCTCTGGCGACAATTAGAATTCATGTCATAAAAGATTTTTAACATTCTCAACCCCGGAAGACATAAAATATTAAAAAAAGATAATTTCAGATATTTGAAGTAAATAAATGACATGTAATAATTTTGAAGTAATTGATTTATTGAGATTCTAAATTGACCTCTCCCCCACCCCGACCCTCTCCCTTGATGTACTAATCTCTCCTTGATTAAATTACTTATGAATTCAGATGATTCATTTTGGTCAATTCTTATTTTAGCCAGCTGAAAGTTCTGGAGTTAAATCACTGAAGTTAAGCAATGTCAAGCTTGGTTAGTACCTTAATGAGTGACTGCTTGGGAATGACAGATGCTGTAAGCTTGAATGACTCAGAAGTGATAATCAGAAAGCTGAGTTCTAATTTTGGTTGGGTTCATTATATTCCCTTACACACAATTACCCTTACGGAAGGTATTAATTCACCTCTTCTGCCCCCAGCTATAGGTTAATTAGTAAGACTTGTATCACTAAATCATTATTATTGCAAAAAAAAATCTTACAGTCTAAATATATTTTCTGGCTTTAAATAACCTTCAGTGGGTTGATAAGCTGTAAAAAATAAGTGAATGAATCAATCAAGGTAGAGGGTTACTTAATAGGGTCAGTTTATGGACATAAAAATTGTAGATTATAAGGATACATAGGATAGATAATGGTTGAAGATGTTAATGTAACAAGCAGGGAAGCATTGTCTTAGAAAGATGAAACTTTTGGGAAGAAACTACATAAATGGAACTTCTTTCTAACAAATGGAATATGAAGTGATGGGTTTGTGTTTGGGTGTCTTGGACATAAAGCTCTAAACTGGTGAATCTAGGAGATATAGGGTGCCAGAATTTTTTTTTTTTTAAATTGGTATCACCCCAAACAAGGCAGTACAGTCACTAAAGCACAAGGGGTTACAGGGTATGGAAGAATTAGGAAGAGAAACATTAATAATGAGCAGGAAGAGGAAAGAGTAAACAGAAGGACAGTAGATAGCAATTGACATTGCATATAATTTCTGTTGATGAAAATTGGCTGGAATATTTGAATATATAAATTTCCATAAAGCAAGAAGTCTTTCATCTTTAGAAACTGTTAGCATAGAACTTATAGTTACATCTAGCCAGCTCAACTGTAAATTGGTGAGATCTTGATGCCAGTTGAGTAATGCAGTTAAATTCAAAAAGTCTACATACCATAGCAAAGAGTTCATCTGAACAATTACCATGAAAGTATTTATAAAAATGGCAGAGAGACATAACCTTATGGTGGGGAAAAGTGACTGAAGCTGGACTTTCTTAGCAGCTGACCTAGCAATGGATTCGATATAGTCTTTCCACTTCATGTCAGCTGAGAATGTTAACATGAGAAGGTGCATTGAGTCTCTCTCCTGGAGGTTAGCATCAGCCATGCTGATGAAAGGCAGAGAGGGGCCTCAGATGATTAATAGAGAGGTTTGTTTTTTTTACCATGGAAATAATGATAGAGTAGTGAGAAGCTTGCAATATTGCGACTGTGAGGAAAGGAGTTGTAGGATGGAAAATAATTAATCATCTAGAAGATCACATAAACACTTAAGGAATTTGTTGAAGCTAGAAAGTGAGGAATGGATTATCATTGATTATATCCTATAAGTTTAACTTTTGTTTTGTCTGATAAAAGAACACTGTTCCAATATTTATTCAACCATCACCAAAGTTGCTGAAAAAATTGTTGGCTCCTGGTACAGCTCCAGCAAGTACCTGCTTCTTCTTGCTATCCTCTACCATTACAAGAGCTAGATCAGGCCTAAAATGGATTAATGCTATCATATTTGGGCAAGAGCTATGCAGTTTTCCCTTTTCAGTCTCAACAGAGTTCAAAAGCATCTCCACCATGTTGTGGGTGACAGTTTAATTTCCACCGTACAATCCTTCTTCTACAGATGAAACATTGCAAGCCTCTTGCTACTCTATTGATATTTTCATGGAAAGAATTCAAATGAACAACATTCCTTAGTTCCACTAGTTATAACCTTCACGACTTAGACCCCCCCCATGATATATACATTGTAGAAGACCATTTCCTTTGTATTTCATTTGTGAGATGTAAGTTATACTGAAACACCTTCTCCACATGAACTGCTGCTTTGTGGAACTGACTCTCAAGAGGAAGCTTCCCCAATCACTACAGTCTTAACCTTTTCAAGTCAAGTTACTTACCCACATAAAATCTACTTCTTACTCTGTAATCCTCTACCTTGAGTGGCTTCTGAGCCTTGTACAGGGTGAACAAAAATGATCTAAAAACTTTTTAGCAAATTTTAAACAAGTATTTTTATGTATAAAGACAAAAAGAAAACTTATCTTAGCTGATGTGTTTTGTCCTCTGATGGACTTTATCAAGGCAAATGTAAAGATTGTCTTTTGCAACAAGTATTTATAAAAAAAAAAAGTAAAAGTGTTGATAGTTTTTCAAAATTTTTAAATTTAAGAGCTGCTCATAAATATTCATGAGGTCAACTGAAAAGTCTTGGTAAATTATGGAAGATGTTAAGTGACATAATTTCATAATAGATTAGAGTAAATGATGTTGAGATTTTTTTAATTTTTAACATTTTTTGTATGGTATAAATTATTATTAAAATATTATAATACATAAATTTATCCCATCAAAAATTTTTTAAAATATTAGGGGTTTATGAATTTAGCCATTTTCTTTTAATTTTTTACCATTTTTATAATTATGAATATTGGTTTGGGATGGGAGTAATTCTTTCAGGAATAGAGATATATATATAAGGCACAGATTTATATTTTGATAAACTTCAATAGTGACACTCGAGAATTTTCCATCTAAGTAAGTTACTTTTTCTTTTTACAGGTTCTCTTCAGCAAGGTTTTTTTTTTTATCAAATCCATCTGCAAAATATATGGTAATGGTATGGGGAGAAAAGGGTTCATGCCTTTTATTGAATTCACTGATAAATTGCTTGATAGATGACATATTCTTTCTCCCATGTAACTATCTTTGATGATCAGAGCAGTTTCGATGTGTCAGTTATTTTTTTGATTAACCATGCTGAACCCAGTCAACTTGTTTTGCACTTGCTCAGGTTGGGAACTAATTCAAGAGAACTTGGTATATCCTTTCTGCTAACTTCCAAGTTTCATCCATGTGGTTCCACTGCCAAAATTCTGCATGCTAACAAAATGTTTAAGCAACTATGTCTTTTGAAACTTTCTTTTATCTCTCAATGTCATTATCATCGATTATTTCATCTGAGGATAAAACAACTTCAGCAATTTCTTTGTACAAATCTTTCATGTTTTCTCTGACCAAAGTCATGAAACAAGGGAAGAAAAGTCAAATTTGAAGAAAATGAGGATTTTAATCCATGTTCTCCTGGAAAAAGTTTAAATTGGTAAATTCTTTTTCCTCCTGTATATTGTTCTGTAAGTTTCTTATTTTCTTGATTTAAGGTAAAAACTTGGAAATTTTTCTGACTTGCTTCAGAGAAACTTTCACATTTATGAAGTTACATTTTATACTTATTGGCAAAAGGAAATATCTTTTTATGTCGACACCAGTAGATCATAGATTAAAATGACATTTATTTTTTACAATAAATTGTGATCATTTTTCTGTAAGTTTGTATTTTCCTGATTTCAGTCGAAAACTTGGAATTTTTCAAACATAATTCAATTAATTTTTCACTTTCTAAAATTACACTTTGTAATTATAATTTAGATACACAGAAAAATATGTTGGTAATGGAAATATTAGCCGTTTCTGTATTTGGCACTCATTGACCAACCAGCCAGTGCTGTTGAAATTTGTAAAATCATTCAATTAAAACAGTTTTCAGGAAAATAGGCTTCCCAAGTCTTGTAGCAGTTATCATATATTCCAGTACTGATAGAAGTCGTGTTTCCTTGCTAACCTTTTGTTTGAAGTGGCGTGGAACGTCAACATCTTGATTATGTCATTATTTTCTCTTTGAATTACATGATATCCATTTTAGTCATTGTCGTTTTTTTTATTTGGTACAGTTTACTGTAATTCTGTAACATCAGTCCATGAGATTTCAAGAAGGAAGATTCTCACTAAGATCTCTATTCACTCAAATTCATTTTTAATCAATGATCTTAGAAGTTGTATACGGTTGACAGTGTTATACTTTGCTGCATTTAGATCTTTTACTGATTTACTTTACATATCGGCTGGATGTGAGCACTAAAAAAATAAAACCCAAAGTAAAGAAGTTATCTTCTGCACACAGGCTCCAAGCATAACATCAAGTTCACAAAACAAATCCCTACAAAAATCTAAAATACAGTAGCCAATCACAAATGTTGCCACCAAAAAAAAAAAAGATATGAACCAGGAAGCCACCAGATTTGCTTAAAAGAAAGATCCTTATAAAAGATTGACACAGTATCAGATGTACAGTCCAGTTGTTGTCATCTGACAATGGCTCACTGTCGTTGTCACCACTATGACCACCTCTCTTGTCCCCATCATGAAGCTTGGTTCTCATTAAGAGCTATGGGCTTCATTCCCTCATTTTTTTTCATTCCCTCCATTTTTAATCATTGATTTGAAAAAGTGGTTGAATACAGTGGCCAGTTTAGATATGAAAGTCTTGATCTGATGACACAATTTAGAACATGACTCAAGTTTTCAGTCTAATGTTTTGCTTTTGTAGCTAATTTGCAGTGTTGGCAAAACTAAACCTAGTGCAGAATATTCTATGGGTTCAACTGATGCCTTTTCTTTCCATATATTTTGACTTTTTTGTTTTAGAAATGTTTTCCTTGATTTTAGATGAAAACTTGGATTTTTTCCAAAATTATAAGATATTTGTGCAAAAAAGATGTCAGTTTAAAATGATACTAGAATTATATGAGATTGTAGCAATACAATTTCTCACACATCCTTAGGAGATAGATAGATAGATAGATAGATAGATAGATAGATAGATAGATAGATAGATAGATAGATAGATACTTTTTCCTTTTAAGTGAATTTAATGACCAGGGTTTCTTAGGAATCTTGTTTCCTGTCCATCTTTGCATCAATTTAATGAACAGAATTTTCAGGAATCTTGTCTCCAGCCTGCCTTTGAATTGGTGAACATAAAATTCTGTCAGTGATTTTAGATAATCATATAAGTAGTGTTCTTTGAAAAACTGACCACCCAAAAGCTGAATGGGTGGTCTCCTTTTCCGAAGCACAAGTGTAGATAGGGGTGGTGAGTATTTCAGTCAGTATCTATATAATGAGTGGTGGGTGAAGCTGTCAGTCAAATGGATAAAGAGCCAGAATTGAGTAAGTCAGGTGACTAAACAGTCAGGCAGTGAGTGTAAAGGTCCTGTGGCCAGAGTTAGTAAGATAAGTCGATGGAAGATATTGCCAATTAAGTGAGAAATCAAATTGTTTGCTACTTCTCAACCAAAGTCTGGAAGAGCATTTTTCATTATTCTTTGTTGAAAATCGATTGCGGCCAGCTGACCTTGGATGTCAGCACAACTTGAGCAGTGATGTGCAGAAGTACATCACAGAATAAAGTAGCTAATTTCTGGAGCTAAAGCTTCATCAGAAAACATGTTTCAGACAATAAATATTACAAGAGTTAATACAAGTTAAGAACAATTTAAAGAAAAGAGTTTTAAAAATATATATATATATATATATATATATATATATATAACAAGACCTGTTCATTTTTTTTTAATTGAGACAATTAGTAAGGACATTTATAACTGTTGCTGAATTTTAAATCGATTAAAATTACTCATAATTTAATGCTATTTCATTATTTAGCACTAAACAAGTGAAAGATGCCTTGCTAAAGCTAAGCAAAATATTAAGAAACAGAAAAATTTGTTTAGTAACAAAGAAAGGAGTATTGAACTGTCATGTCAGTCCTCCTATATGTCAGTAAATGCTATACAATCTCCTCACAGATGTTGAAAAAAAAAAAAAATGAAGCAACATGTGGGCCTACAGAAGGATGATGAGAATACCACGGATCAAACATGTGAGCAAAGAAGAACACTTAGAGAAAATAGAAATGAAAAGGACACTTATACCTAACATCAAAAAGGGACAGTTGAAAATTCTAATGCACATAAAGTGGAAAGAGGGCTTGGAAAATTTGATGCCCACAGGACAGATAGTAGGCAAGAGGACAACAATGCATAAGTTACTTAGTAAGCTTGAGTAAATGGGTGGTAGAACAAGGTTTACGTAAGATAAACAAAAAGACAATTTATTAAAACCTGCAAAGGATAGGAACACTATTTACATTATTCGGACTATTGTCTTCATCTTTGTCGCCATATTTATTACAACGTTTCGGCCTTTCAGTATCTGCCTATATTTCTGAGATGACATATTATGTACACTATTTACATTATTTGGACTATTGTCTTCATCTTTGTCGCCATATTTATTACAACGTTTCGGCCGTTGTACACTCCGGCCTTCTTCAGATGGTTTGAATGTTGAACTGAACCCTGTAGAATATTGGTTAGCTTGCCAGTGGTCTGACACACAAGTAGGCTAGTGTAGCCCAAAGCTAAAACTGACTTGAGTCATTTCATAAAGAAATATATGGGTGAATAAAGACCACTCATGCAAATGTATGGGCAGGTCCATTCTAGCAAAATGGACCAACATAACTGGTGTATTAGGCACTCTCCTATAAAATGAGGTAAAATCAGCTGGCTTGCTTTACAAGGAGACACAAGAAGGCAGCCATGTTAGCAGGTAAGTCACATGACCCTTTATTTTGCTCACTGGGGTAGACTGTTCTAATTCCACATGCCATGTTTAATGGATGTCAGTTATCAGTTATCTCCTGTTAACTCACCTCTCCAAGTTCTCCACTGCCTTAATCGGGTATTGAACTCACACTGTGTTCTATCACTTGGTCTAGCCAATGCCTTTATCCACTGTACCAAGTGTCCTTCAGTTCGACATTCCAACCACCTGAAGAAGGATGGAGCATACAACACCTGAAACGTAATAAATATGGCGACAAAGATGAGGACAATAGTCTGAATAATGTAAATAGTGTACATAATACCTCATCTCAGAAATATAGACAGATACTAAAGGATAGGAAATTGTAGAGAGCCATGATCACCAATAGCCTGAAGGAACATGGTAGTTAAAAAAAGATTTTTTTATATAAATGTAACCTGAAAAACTTTCAATATTGATTGGTTAATAATTTTATTGTGAAAATAATGACTTCCATAATGTTATACTCTAATAATTCTGAGGGGATCAAATTATTTCTTTATTACAGTTGGACGCCATATTCACTTGTGGATTATTGTCGACAACACTGTTGTTGTTATCACAACATTTCAGCCATTGTATCTTCTGACCTTCATCAGGGATGTCAATCTAGGTAACCCACAGGGAATTTCAAAATGAGCTCTTTATTTAATCTACAGGGGTAGATTATTCTCTTTCCACTTGGCATGTCCAGAGATATCTAGTTCTTATTTTTAGTATGACTCGGTTATTGTTCACTGTTTCCACTGAGTTCAAGCACATTGCTACAAAAGCCACAAAGAACTGTACCAAATAACAGAAGTCGCATCACTTGAGGACTATCAACAGCAGCAACAACTAAAATGGATAGAATATATAACTCAAAGAGATAATAATGACATAATCAAGATGTTAACATTCCATGCCACTTCAAATTGAAGGAAACCCCTGTCAATACTGGAAAGAGCAATAACAGCTATTGAACTTGATAAACCCAATTTCCTTAAAAGTTCTTTTTAAGAGAAAGAATTTTAAAGTTTTAAATGTAAGCAGTACTGGATGCTTCGTCAGTGAAGTGCCAAAATGTTTCCTTGTAGAGGAACAGCTAATATGACTATTATTATTAAGGGCCTTTTTTTTAATCATTTCACCCCAAGCAAGGCAATAAAGCCAATAAGATGCAAGGAATAACTTACTTTTTATCATCCAAGTAAAATTACAAATTATTCATTATAAATATAAGTGCGTTTTTACAGACTAATGCTTATTTCATAGTTCCAACCAAAGACTTATTGAACTTAACAATTAAGAATTGGCACATTCTGTGTTAACAAAAGTTTTGTGAAAGAGGATCCTGACAAATTTGCCAAAGGGTGAACATGAATTGAGGTTATAAAAATTACAAGTCATGGATTTGTAGACACTGATGCAGTAAAGAAGACACCATGTGATTTTAAATAACAGTTTTTATGTAATAAGAAGTAAAAATAAAAACAATTACACTATTTACATTATTCGGACTATTGTCCTCATCTTTGTTGCCATATTTATTACATTTTGGCTATTGTACGCTCTGGCCTTCTTCAGGTGGTTAGAATGTCAAACTGAACCCTTTATTTTGCTCACTGGGGTAGAGTGTTCTAGTTCCACGTACCATGTTTAATGGATGTCAATTATCAGTTATCTCCTGTTAATTTCCCTCTCCAAGTTATCCACTGACTTAAGCGGGTATTGAACTCACACTGTTTGTGTCCCGTCACTGGATCTAACCAACACCATTATCCACAGTGTCATGTATCTACCCCATTGAGTGAAATAAAGGGTTTAGTTTGACATTCCAACCACCGGAAGAAGGTTAGAGCCAACAATGGCTGAAATATTGTGATAAATATGGTGTCAAAGATGAGGACAATAGTCTGAATAATGTAAATAATGTACATAAGACCTCATCTCAGAAATATAGACAGATACTAAAAACAATTAATTTTTAAAGTTTTTTAGATCAAAAAAGTACTATAAAAACAAGTCATTTTTACTCAGAGGGATTCACTAGTTCAACTTGCTTGAGACTATATATCATGCTTGTCCAAAACATTTCACCAGAACTTTTTACCGCCTTACTTCAATGGCAATGAAATTTATATTTATCATCTTCTCCCTCTATTTCACACACACACACACACACACACACAAATATATACATATTGAGTACACACATGGCACAATGGATAAAGGCTTTGGTCAGATCCAGTGACAGGACCCAAAGAGTGTGAGTTCAATACCTGGTTAAGGCATTGGAGAATTAACAGGAGATATCTGACAACTGACATCCATTAAAACATGGCACATGAAACTAGAACAGTTTACCTCATTGAGCAAAATAAAGGGTTCATTTTGACATTCCAACCACCTGAAGAAGGCTGGAGCATACAATGGCTGAAATGTAATAAATATAGCAACAAAGATCAGGACAATAGTCTGAATAATGTAAATAATGTACATAATACCTCAACTCAAAAATATAGACAGATACTAAAAACAATAAATTTTGTAAAGCCTTTTAGATCAACAAAGGACTATAAAAATGTAATTTTTACTCACAGTGATTCACTAGTTCAACATGCCTGAGACTATGTATCATGCTTGTCCAAAAAATTTCATCAAAACTTTTTACCGCCTTATTTCAAAGGCAATGGAATTTATATTTATCTTCTTCTCCCTCTCTTTCACACACATATGCATCATGAATGTTCCACACACAGGGCAATCATCAAAATGTGATTTGTAAAATGTAAACTGTCTGTTTGACTTTGTTTAGCCACATATCAACCTCCATGGGTTATTTTAATGCTGAAATCTAAATATTTCGAATGCAACTGTATGCCTTCATCTGCAGATGAAATATATTGTTATTCATTTTTTTGTAAAAATATGTATTGCTTGTATTTCTGCTATAAAAATGTATTTTTATACTTTGTTTTGTTTTTGTTCAGGGGTTCACTATTTGCCCATAGCTGGGACACTAACAGGTACTACCACTTCTGGTCAGGTTGGACCTGGGAACGACAGCAATTAAGAGATGGTTTCAGGCTCCACAAAACCTCCAATCTCATGATCAGAGGCGTTGCTGCCAGATGTAGTTTATCATCATACTCAGTAAATATGTAAATAATTTAGTTCAATGTTTATTTCACATTTATATTTCTTCTCTTTCATTTCAATTTTATTAATCTGTTTTTTTGTATGCTGATGAATCACAACATGACTTTTTCAGCCAGTTTTGTTTTATATCAAATTCTTCTAAGCGTTTTCAAGACACTCATCTTTTAATGTCAGTAGCAAGTTAGCTGTTATATATCACTTGTACAAGGCCACATATTAACAATCATACTGCCAGCACAGACTACAGCTCGGCTATATTATTAATATTTATAATTATTTATTAATGATTTATTTTGAATATTATTCTATAAAGTTTATTTCATGTACACATCTCAGACTATCTATGACACCTATATATCATTAATGTTACAATTATATATATATATATATATATATATATATATATAATATTGTCAGTATTATTTTGCTGTGCAGATGTGCGAGTTATCTAATGAGTAATTGGAGAGCTGAGTTTGAATTCCAGTCAGATTTATTTCATTCACTTACAAGCAAATACGCTGGCGAAAGATATGTATACATCTCCTCCCCAGCTATGGGTTAAAAATTAAGACTTGTATCTGGAATAATGATTTTTATTCTCAGAAACATCTTAATGCATTATTTACTTGCAAGAAAAAGAATTATTCTTACGAGCCAAAATGTGTTTCAGATTGAAATAACCAAATCAATGGATGTCGCACTTTCTAATTTAAGATATTATAATAATGGAGAAGAATTAGAGACATGTTTTGTAATAATTTCACCCCATTCAAGGCAATAAAATGCATGAGGAACAAGGGAATACTGAGTGTGAGAGAGTACGAGGAAAAAAAACCCTATTAAGGAGAGAACAATAAAAAGAACAGGAGTTAAGAAGACAAGAGATAAGGATTGCCATTGCATTTAAACATTTGAAGCAGGGAGACAGAAAACAGTTCCACAATTGAGAAATGTGAGAGAAGAAACTATAGGCATAGAACTTATGGTTCTGTGTAGCTCAAGATATAAGGTTATTAATGATGAAGCAGGAAGAAAAAATTTAATTTATAGTTTCATGCAGCTACAACAGTAAAATGATGTGACCTTGGAGCCAATCTAGTACACCAGAACAATATGACATGACTAGTGAGTGTGTATTGTATGAACCAACATTCCACCCATTCACTGTTCCCTGTTCAATGAACCTTCTCTCCTACTAAACTTATAGTAGGCGGAAGAGTCTAACAGTCTAAATTTATAAAGTCCAGGTAGACTAAATAGGTGTATTACAAAAATTATAGTTCATCCAATGCAAGGCAGAAGAGCCACTCAAGGTTTTTGAATGAGGAAATAAGAAGTAGGAAGTAAAAATTTCATTTATAGTTCCATGGCGCCACTTCAATTCTAAAAGAATGTGGCCGTGGAGCCAATCTTGTATCGTGTTTAAATTAATGAAGTTTAGATACCATAATGATGAACTCATATATCAATTGCCATGAAAATATTTACATAAAAGTTACAAGAAATCTATGTTACAGCAGTAGAGGAGTGACTGAATCCAAGATGTTTGGTCAGGACCAATAAAATAGCAGATTCTTCTTTGTATTTTATCAAGAATCTATAAATATATAGCAGAAGCACATGACCAGATATGGCAGCAATATTTAAAGAATGTACAAAATGACATGATTCAAACATTGGACAGAATCTGACTTTTTATTTTTAAAAGCTTTTCACCCCAAGCAAGGCGTGAGTGCCACTAGCATGCAAGGGGTTACAGAGAGTGGGAGCAAGAGTAAAGAAGCTTGATAGAGGAAAGGATGAAGAGAAGGACGAGGATCAAGATCAAGGCATCAGAAGATGTTGATTGACATTGCATTTGAATAGTTGGAGATTATAGCTATCGGAAGCAAGTAAGAGAAAGGTAATTCCACAGATGGGAAGTGAGAGACATAAAGCTATTGGAGTAGAAGAGGTGGCTACATTTAACCATTTTGACAGTGAAAGGGTGGGACTGAGATGCCAACCTAGTAGCACGTTTAGAAACTTTCATAAAATCTAAGATCATTGAAGTGCATTAAAAAAACGTTTCATAATATATAGAGTAATTCGTGAAAGGAAAATAATTTTGATCCTCCTTCATATAATGTTAGAGATTTTTTTTCTGCTAATTTTCTAGTTATTCACAAAAATCTTTGTAGTAATTTGTTGTTGATTATCAGATTCTGATCTGGAAATGAAGCTATTGATTTTTAAAAGATCCCAATAAACAACTTAGGACAGAGTAATTCTTTGTAAACAACTTCACCTCATCATATAAAATGGAAAAATTCATTAAATAGAAGGCAGTACTTTTCTGAAAATTGTTTTTACAAGTTCACTGCAGACATCAAGTAGAAGTCATATTTGTGATCCATTACTAAAGAAATAAAAAATGGTTAGTTTCTTATATTGACCATAAATTTGATTCCCTCTGTCATGCTTTAGCTTAACAAGAACCAGATCAATCAAAAATGGAGGATGACTGACATTATCTCAATCATTTCTCCCCAAGCAATGCAATAAAACCACTGAGACACACACACAGACATATATAAAGTTTCAAGGGGATAGAATCCAGGTAGAACTCAATTTTTAGGACAGAGTAAGAATCTTACTTATTATAAAATGCAAATTTTGTGTGTGTGTGTGTGTGTGTGTGTGTGTGTGTACGTTTATATATGGGATCATATTTCCTACATTTTTCAACTGATTTCAACAAAACTTCACAGGACTACATAAAATTACCTTGCGGTGGTTCTGACAGTGCCAAAAATTGGAAAAAAACAATTGTTTTTGCATGAAATCAATTTGAAAACACCATTAAGAGGCATTGCTGTCGCGGGAATGAAAGGGGGACAACTCATATCGAGTTATACTTATTATAAAACCCAGGTTGTTTGTGTGTGTGTGTGTGTGTTCGTTTATATATGGGATCGGATTTCCTACTTCACTTTTTTTTGGCAGGTAGTATTTCTTATTGTCTTGCACACTTTTTTCTTTATTTTTACATTCAGTTGGCTTTAAAAATTCCATTTACAAGACAATTGTTTATAATAAAATTCTATTCAATCGGTAGACTCATAACGATTGAAAACAATGTTTTTGTTTGAGTTTGGGTTTGACCAATTCGTAAAAAAAAAAAAACTAATTAAGACATGCGTGTCCGTCAACCTTAAACAATAATCTGTGTCAATTTTATTTTCAGTCTTTATGATGGTTTGATACTTGATCTATCTCTTACAGGTACATCTCCGGGCAACGCTGGGCTCTACTGTCGGAAAAAAAAAACTTTCGACACAGTAAAGTAGGGAAACCCAGAAGAGAGCAGCGACAGCCTGGTAAGGGTTGCAAAAGGAATCCTCTTGCGACCTGCTCCAACTAGGTCGAGTAACAGAGCAGAAAAAAAGAATAATCCTTCAGCACGACAAATAACCAGTCACGTGTCGGCTGATAGAGAAAATAGGTCAATCAGAATACAGAGGAGGGTTTTTTAAGGAGGCTAACTGCTTCCCCACAATCCTCCTCCGACCAAGACCATAAATATCAGTTGGTCATTTGGTTCCAGTTTAGCTGGACACAATTCCCCTGAGGCTCAAGCAACCCGTCCGTAAGTGTAACCTTCTCTCTTCCTCTTTCCTTTTCTTCACATTTCCCGACAGCAAAAACACAAAAAAGACGTGTAGAAAAGAAAGAAGAGAGAAAAACAAAAAGAACAAAAACAAAAAAAAAAAACGGGTAACAATGTCTCTCCCCTGACAGGCGAGTTGAGTTCTTATTTCTAAATGGCTAACTGATTGCCAATTAGGCGGGAAGCAGACTTGGTCTACCCCTGCGTCGTCTTTGGGGCGCACACTCAGGGCAGTACCACTTCTGCCTTTCAGGCGGCTCCTCGTCAATGCCAACACAACGAAAATGGAACCATTCATCACAAGAATCACACCCGATCATGTCCAGATTTCCCTGAGGAGAGTTGCACAGGACACAACCAGACATGCTCCTCATCGTTGGCAGCAGAACATGATGGAACCTCGTCCCTCTCTGCAATCAAAAGCACTCCCAGGGGGTGACACAGGACCACTAGTTGGTAACTCAGAAGAACGGTTAGCTGTCAGGGAAAGTTCCAGTGGGTAGAGGTGTTTCAAAGAGGTACCTCTTCGAGACCACCCCTTTCGGACACGAGCAGACCTGACCACACCATCATCACCGGGTATGAGATCTGTAATTGTCCCCAAGACCCAAAATGGTCGCGGTTTCAGAGAGGACTCTTAATCAGGATACATCATCTTTCTGAAGCCGGTTCTCTGTCCGCAACCGTGTGCGTCCCTGGACCCTTCTCTTCCCAGCTCCAGAAGGTATTCCTTGTACCAGGACTCATGGAACCTTAATAAATACTGGTTCCTGATGTCCATTGCTTCCTGAACCTTTTCTACTGGCTGGTACTGCAGAAGCGATGTCATTTTTTGTTCAATCGCAACAACAGCCCCGGACTCTTGTTGGGCCTAAGTAACATGTTGGGTGATAGCAGCAGCATTGTTATCAGCAGACAACTGATAGGTCAGAGGTCGGTTGTTGACCGATCTCTGAATATCAGAGACCACTGTCAAGAGGGTAAAATAATCCAGTTTACCTCTGCCAAGAATCTTAAAAAGGCAATCCTTCACCGTTTTAATGCAACGCTCCCATGTTCCCCGTACCAAGGGTGAAAACAGAGGGATGGTTTTTAGTTTTAACCCGCAAGAACCATACTTGCTTTTATACTCCTGGAAGACAGAGAGGCGACTAAAAGTCTTCCGCTTCCCAGAAAGGTTTTAGCATTGTCACTGTAGATTACTTCCGAACTCCACTTTGGTTGGTGAAGAACCAGGGCTTGAAAGAGGATAGCACACTCATGTCTGGAACCAACTCAATATGTATTGCTCTGATATTCAAGCACGTGAACAAGAGCAAGTACATCTTCTTGTCCTGCTTACCATCATTCACCCAATGGCCGGTGAAATCAACGCCTGTATGCTGGTAAGGGACCTCAAATTCGACTCGATGAGTTGGTAAGCTGGCCGCAGCACTCGGCAGTACTGGTCGCGAATTGTATCGTTTGCATCTGGCACATGACTTTAGAACCTTGTTGACGGCCTGTCTTCCTTGAGGGACCCAGTAGCCGCTCCGCCTCAACTCAGCCAAAGTAGATCCAGTTCAAGGTGACAACACTTTATGACAATCCAAAATAATAAGTCTGGTCACAGGGTGGTGTTTCCCTATCAGGATAGGGTTCTTGATTTCATAGGTAAAATATGAAGATCGGTCGATTCTTCCTCTTGATCTGATTAACCCATCCGAGTCAAAAAAAAAGATCCAGGGCACGAACTCTGACGGGTTCAGATCTTCCTGTTGGCTTCATTAAATACTCAACCTCTGAAGGAATTCATGTCGTTGGAGAACTCTCATCAGGTAAATGGCTGCCTTAGATCTGTAATCCCACTCCCGTCCTAGCCGAATGGCTATGAACTTGAACACCAGTGAGGTAACTCTCAGTAACCCAGAAAATGTTGAGAACCTGTGAAAGGGTATGACGGAGAGGTATTCTTGGTTCAGAACCATAGAACAGTGCACTGAAGTACGGGCCATCTGCTGGCACGTCTCGCTTAAACAAGGCAAGTCTTGTGTCGGCCACTGGATGATTCCCTCACACAACCAAGAAGGACCAGAACACCAAAATTGGAAGTTGGAACGAAACTTCCTCAACGTCATTCCCTCGTGATCAGATCGGCGGATTATGTGCAGAATCCACATATTTGAAGAGAGTCTTCAGGCCGTAACGGGATTCTAACCCAAAGGTTCATTTTGCAGGACGTCCTTGAGTCGGTTTCCTAAAAAAATGTTTTTGATGGCCATGGATTGAGACAGAGCCAAGACAACACTACTTGGGCATCAGTAGCCACACATAAGTTACTTGGAACAAACCCTTCACAGTTGTCCAGGATTGTTGGTAGGCACTTGAAAGCGAGATAAACAGCCATTAACTCCAAAACAGGTAGAGTTTTGTCTTTCATCGGAGCGACCTTAGCCTTAGCAAACACCAAGGACGATCGATGATTTTGCACAATGTAAGCGGCAAATCCATATGCCTCCGTGGAAGCGTCGCAAAGAGGTACATATCTCCAGGCTGTCTCGCATCGAGAACCTTTCGATAAAAAATGGAAGTCACTCAGTCCAGACAGGTCCCCAGCAAGCTCCTCCAATCACTTAAAACCGCAGTAGGGAGAGGATCATCCCAACCCAAACCATTCTTCCACATAGACCTAATAAGTATTCGGCTGCGAACCGTAACTGGGAGACAAAGAGATAAGGGGTCAAAAATTTTGGCTGACTCAGAAAGCACTCCCCTCTTTGTTGACGCATCGGGGATCGCACCTGACGTGGCCCACGTGCATCTCTTCTGAAAGAGGGTTGTATCGGTAACCCAGTACCTTCTCCCATTCTTCATCATGTGCACTCAGTGTACCATCTTCTTTCATCCTGGCTCGGAGAGCCTCATCGTTGAGTTGCAGGACTGAATAACAAAGCCGCCTTCCTGCAAACGTTCCCGTGCCAGGGAGTACAATTTCGCCAGCTTCACTGGATCTGCTTCCGATGTTACAAGGTTGTCCACATAAAATCTGTCCTCAATCATCCTGCGGCAAGCGTCCAGTGGGTATCTTGCTGCATGTAGTTTCAGGATACACCCCAGTACAAAGGGGCTTGAGGTGAACCTGGAATATCAAGGTGGTATATCGAAAACAGCGAAGACGATCCCCATCCTTAAGGAAGAAACAAAACCGGTTTTTGTCAGTCTCCAACTTGAGATGAATCATCAAGAATGCCTTTCGAATGTCTGCTAGCAGAACATGTTATTAGTTCTGAAAGACAATAATAACTTCAACATATCTCCAGTTAGATTGACCCCAGAGTAAGCTGCCTCGTTCAGGGACAATCCACCACCAGTCTTCAGACTGCAATTGAACACAGGTCTGATTTTGGTAGTAGCTGTTGGGTCAGACCTGAAAACCGGTCGATGTGGAATCCACATATTTATCAAATTCGTGTTGGGAAAAAAAATCTCTTCAATTATTCCATCCTGTTCTTGCTGACGGAACACCTCTAAGTATTCCAGATAAATATTCTTTTTAGTCAGGGTTGAAGCCACCCGGTCCAAGATGCGCAAAGAAACGGCGTGATTGGATGGGACCCGAGCCAACTTATCAGAATGCCAGGGAAGCTCCACGTAATACTTCCCATCCCTGAGCTCCACAGTATCCTTAAAACGTCTCATCTGTTCTTGATCATAATCAGAGAAGGTATCCTCATCAGATATTCCTAGGGACTCCATGTCAAACATCCGTTCCAATCCTCTTTGTACTGCACTGTCAGGAAAAAACTCCGCCAAAGGGTCAAGGTAGGTTGGTTGGTTTTCAAGAACGAAGCACAAATGTGAGGAATTCACTTCGGGGTATCCCCCATTACAGTATTAAAGGAGAGGTGGGCCCACTTCACAAGGGATCTTGTCTCCTGACAAAAGGAGTCCACAGTTCCAAAGGGAACCAGGCCTGACGGAACAGAAAATGCCCAACCCCTCAGACAGGGGACCAACTTCAATGTAATCAATCGATGAATAAGGTCCAATCCAATAATGCCCTTGATAAGCACAAGGTCTGACCTGGCCTCAAATTGGCCAGCCAAATTATAGTCAGCTGCCTAAAAGCACCCAACAGGGTCTCCAAGTGAGCCAGTCGTACAGACAAGTCCATTGCATCAGTGACCAAAACAGAGGAAGCCAAAAGCCTCACCAGAACCAAGGTCAACTCCCAGAACCACCTCCGTGAAATTCCGGTCACACTCACCAAGGAGGGTGAAAAAGTCTAAGCCGACAACTGACTCCAACAGTCTCAACTGAACCCAAGTCCCTCAGTACATCAGCAGACAAGTACGAACGCCCACTACCAGTGTCCAAAAGGCAATTAACTGACACCATTTTTCTCCATTGAAAAAAGTGACCAATAGGATGGGGCAAGCTACGGAATAACCAGCAGAAGTCAGGTTGTTGGAATCCACATGAAAGGAAGAAGTAACAGTGGCCCTCCGTGCGGTTTTTGAGAAGAACCCTGGCCAGTGGTGAATGTAGAAGCAGCAGACGCGCTTCCCTTAACCCGTAATCGTTTGACTGCCTCACTTGTAAGTTCCAATATAGCAGACAATGATGGTATTCGTTTACCTGTTAGTCCTATCATTTCCCCTTCAATTCTTTGGGAAATTTCTGAAAAGAATCTTGGCCATTAGGCGAGCTCCACCAGAATCGTCCACCGAAAAGTCGCAAGAAAAAGAAAGCTCCTCCAAGAGAGAGGCAGTCCTGGAGATAAATTCACCCAGACCAGAGCAGCAGATGTCCTTTTTAGGAACATAGTCTAGAATGTCTTGAAATATCTGGTCGATTATCTCATCAATGTCCAAATATCCTCTTTAACACCGAAAGAGCACGCTGATAGTTGGCATCCGTGCAACTCAAATGGTTAATCAGTCTTAAAGCTCTGTCGGAGAGGGAACATTTCAGAAAGTTTAATCTTTCAGAGTCATTGGCCATGCCAACCACACAGTTTTCGAATCTCGTCAAAAATTCCGGAAACTCATGTGGTCGTCAGCCATCTCAAGTCCATAAAGGTGGGCCCCTGTTATTTGTATTTGCGGAGGTTTGACAACAAAGGAAGCCGAACTTCTTCCAGGTGTTGACGGAACCCCAAACGACTGGGAAACAGGATCCAAGCAGGAACTGGGAGAAAATGAACCATCCAGATCGCCCAGTTCTCGGTGGTACTCCATTAGTCGAGGCGCCCATTCAGCTTCGGTCTCAAGCAAGTCCGTCTCGGGGAAGGAGCCCAGCTCTAATTTTGTGATACAA